CATGGGATCCAAACCCTCGGCGGGAGCGCCGCCGTGCTCCCAAGCAGCGCACTCTCCAGTGTGCCACTGGGCCGGCCCTTGACCACCATTTTTAATCCATTCACTGCTGCACAGTCCTGCAATCCAATCTCTCTAAGGCTCCACCTTTCAGTTACTATAACAGGATTTCCCACCCTCTTAACAGTCACAGTGGAGGCTAAGTTTCTAATACATAAAACTTGGGGGACACAGTTCAAGCTTCAGTAGTTTTGGGGGAACATAATTCAATCCACTACAGATGCTTTAAGGTTACTGTTTATTTTTCTGATTTGAAATTCCTCTCAGATTATGTCTAGGTAGGGTCCCCTCTTTTTTTTTTTTTGGCTCCTGGCTGGTAAGGGGATCGAAACCTGTGATCTTGGTGTTACCAGCACCATGCTCTCCCAAGTGAGCTAACTGGCCAGCCCAAGTTCCCTCTTTTAAAAGAAATAAAAGGCTTTTACTTTGAAATAATTTTATTCCTACAGAAGATCTGCATAGATAGTGCTAAAGGTTCTCATAAACCCTTCCTCTACTTTTCTCTATGTTAACATCTTACATAACTGAGGGACAATTATCAAAACTAAGAAATTGACACTGGTATGTGGTAAGTAAAGATTTTATTTGAATTTGCCGTTTTCCCACTACTGTCTTTGTTCTGTTCTGGAATCCAATCCAGGATAATTTTGTATTTAGTTAACATGTCTCCTAAATATTCTCCAATCTGCGCCAATTCCTTATTCTTTCCTTGTGTTCCATGACCTTGACACTTCTGAAGAGTACTGGTCAGGTATTTTGAATGTCCCTTGATATGTGTTTTTCTGATGTTTTCTCATGATTAGACTGAGTTTATGGCTTTTGCAGAAGAATGCCACAGAGGTGATGTGCCCTCGTTTCATGATGTCAGGGGTTACATGCAGTCCGTGTGTCTTATTACTGACGATGTCAGTTACCTTTGATCACTTGGTTAAGATGGTATCTGCCTGGTTTCTCCTCTGTAATGTTATTTTTCTTTTTTTTTTTTCCTTTTTGTCTTTTTTTGTGACCGGCAACGGGATCGCAACCCTCGGTGTTGCCCCCGCACCTCGCTCAGCCAGTGAGCGGCCGGTCTGTATGTGGGATCCGAACCCTCGGCGGGAGCGCCGCCGTGCTCCCAAGCGGCACACTGTAGCAGTGCGCCACCGGGCTGGCCCTGTAATGTTATTTTTCTGTTTCCATATTCTGTTAGGAAGGATTCACCAAGTCTAGCCCACATTCATGGGGAAGGAGATTAAGCTTTACCTCTTGAAGGGAGGGATATCAAAGAATTTGTGGGCGTATGTTAAAACCACCATAGTAATTAATAAATATTTTGGGGGAGATGTTTGAGGATGTGCATATATCTTACTTCTCCTTAAGTGTTCAGCCATTAATTTTAGCATGCATTGGTCATGGATCTTTCCCTGCAGTAATGATTATTATGGTGCATTTGCCTAATGGTGATTTTTTAATTTTTCTTATTCCTTCTAGGTTTATTAGTTAGTAAGAGGGAGTTGTTCCCTCTTACTCATTTATTTCTTTATCCAGTGATATATATCCATGTAGACTCATGGCTATTTATTTTATTTTTCAGGTTTCCTCCTCAGTTGCTTAGAGCATGATGTTATAACACTAAGGCTCTTTAAAATAATTATCTGACTGGGCAGCTGCCAAGTAAATAAATAAATAAATAAATAAATAAATAAATAAATAAATAAATAAATGTCTGAATATGATAGCGCAGTTGTCAGATTTAGTTTTGGGTGTTTCTTTTTTGTACATCAGGAAAGTTTTCTTCTAAAACTTTACTAATTTGTCTTCCTGTTCTACCTTACTGGTTTTCTCCTTCTGGAATTCATGTTCTATGAAGATTGGCTCTCCTTGAAAGCATTTTATAGAGGATTTTTAAACAAAATATTAGAATACTAAATTATAGCCATTGCCTTCACTTTTTCTCATTCAGGGTTCTTTGTCTTATGCTTGCCTTTTCCTTTTTATTTTTTGGTAGACATTAAAATACATATCAAAAACACCATGCAGGTACCAGAGTCCTGAGATTGTCAGTGAATTCCTCACAGCAATGAAAAGCCACAAGTTGACCAAGTAAGTAAAGATTATCTTTTTTGTTGCTTGACAGCTGGTGGATATGGAGATCCGAACCCTTGACCTTGGTGTTACAGCACGGCGCTCTAACCAGCTGGGCTAAGTAAAGACTATCTTAAGTAGGAAGAGAGTGACGCAGAATGAAAAGATAGCTTTAAAAAGCCATCCTCAGCACCCATGTGTTTATATTTAGTTGGGTTTTGGATTCATAA